AGACATTGTGAGGGCTGTAGAAGAACGAGGGCATGATGCGCTTTTTAATGGCTAAGTAACGCAGTAACATCGGCAATACTGGTGCAACAATGTTCCGATCTATTGAGTGATCTGCAGCATTGGGACCAGGGCCGTGATCCTCTGTGTCACAACTGGAGCAGAATGGCCGAGATTCGGTGAGGGGGAAGAGGGAAGCGTGACGCTATATGGAGTAGGCAATACTTGAGGAATCGAGGTATCCTAATTACCCGAGAGTAGCATCTGGGCTCCATATCGGTTCTTAATTGGATCCCAGCCATGGAAAAGTGCTTTTCAATTCGCGTAAATAGCGTTATCTTCAGGCTCAGAGTGCGGAGATACAAGTGGCGGGTCGAGGGAAAGCTTGTTCTTAAGCTCTCTTAGGCTCACTCCAGTCGTCGTTGAGCTGGCGAACTGGACAAGTCTATATAGTATCTCATGTCGAGAATGCTGGAGAGGAGGTTAAAGATTTATAGTTCTAGGGATGTCTAGATCATCAAATTTTATGGTCTTCACTCCGTAATGTCCTTGATTCCTCACAGCTTTCCCATCTCCCCAGCCTCTGTTCATCTTCATCCTGGTTGAGCGTTCGGATCATCCGCGTGCATGATTTTAATGCCTGGTTTTTAAGGTGTCAAAACTGCGCTATGAGTTTCTCCCGCCAACCGCACCCGGTGTCCTTCTGGAACTTCAATTTTCCCGCGTCGCGTTGATAGCTAAGCATTCTATCTAATTGTCCTCACCTCCAATTACCACGCCCCGGAGGTGCCATAGCCCACCTTCTATATCGTGTTTCTCTAGTTAGACTGGATATTGTCATTTCTGCGACCGCATTGACACCTGATTTACGATCGTCCATCGACATTTGGTCACAATGGACGACCCAGCGAGCCGCGTCCCGGCGCAGTTGGTGAGTCGTTCCTATAGGATTTTTGGGGACGATTCATTGCATAGTTATTCGAGGACAGCATGCTAACTTAGTGATTTGTTTGTCATAGCTGCCGCACATGCATCTGGTGTCGCGCCATCGGTACCCTTTGATGCACATGATGCCAACAGACACCGTCGTCGAATACCTCCTGTCCGCGTCCAAGATCGTTCGCGAAGCCCAACCGATGCACTGGACCTTTTTAGATGGACCTCAGGATGGAACGGTGATGCTCACGTGGCAGCCTCTTAACCACCTGGGGACAAACTTCGCCAGCGATGGTTACGTCTGGGCCGACGTGGAACAGGCCTTTACCTTTGAAGCTCGTGGATACGTATGGCGCTTGTCCTATGCATCTCCGATTCTCTGATTTTGTATGCTGATGCCTGTCCGTGACAGATGGTGGAGATGTGGCTCCATCGCAGCGGTTACCACCCTCCCAATGAGTCTGTGGCCATCCACTGTCGCAGACGCTACCGGCTGTTGCCCACGAAAGTCCCCAACCCTAGCCTTCCCCCACCGGACCCATCACTATGGATCGTGCACTACTCCAGAGCACCTCCTACTGAACATATTCCAGCGAACCGGATTCCAGTCTCTCCGCAAGTGCAAAATATGTTGGCTCAACGTCGTTTCCTCCAAAGCCAGGGTCAACTGGCGCGCAAAGACTTTATGCTTCATGATCGGAACAACTGGCCCACAATCAACTTTCCTCCACAGATAGCACCACAAGCACTTGCCCAACCGGCGGGGCCATATCCCAATGCCATGGTTGGCCGTCAGCCGTTCTATCCCCAGCCCGGCCAACCTGTGCCAGCTCCGGCCGCTGCAGCTCCGGCCAAGGCACCCCGTGGACATCGCGCCTCAACTGCGGCGATAACCGCTGCAGCAGCTGATTTCGCACTCGAAGATGAAGACATTTCCACGGGCGACGTGATGGATTTGCTGACTCCTCGGGAAGTAAGCAAAATGAGATATCAGCAACACCACGAGTGGATGGAAGAGATCTTCGCCTCGCCGTATGCGATCAGCCAGATTACGCCTGTTTCTTTGGGACTCGGTCGCAAAGGAGAGCTGGAGACTCTGACCGCAGGCTTTTTCGATGCACCCGTTGGGCCTGCAGGTGGCGATTCGAAAGAAGGCACTGAGCCTACTCAAGCGACGAAGATGGAGCCCGAAAAAGCAGAGGAGTTTGCCGACAGGGTCGCCAAAAAGGTCGCCGACATGACTGCAGAAATTGAGAAGCTCAAGAAGCGCCATGCCCGGAGGATGGAGAAGTTCAATCGCACCTCTCTCCTCAAGGATGCTGAACTCCGACTTCGGGATGCGGCAGCGAATCCCGAAGACACCGGAACAGAGATTTGGAGGATGGAAGGTCGCAGTGAGATGCCGACCGAAGGGGATGAAGCTGAAGTCGTTCCCCTTGAACACAAGGCCAAGTACAAGGTTGATGACATTGTCCGAGAAGTTGAAACCTCGTGGCGCAGGAAAATCGTGCCGGAACCCAAGGTTTCCTGCGTACAAAAGGGCGGCTTGCTGGAAAAGATTGAACCCGAACCTGTTTCAACTGCAGCTGATGTTGATATTGACATGGGCCATGCGGACAGCAATCTCCTTGGTCAGTTCGGTGCGCCCGCACAAGGGGCAGCTCCTGCTGCTCAGGGACAGGCGGCGCCAACAGCCACTGGAGCGGCACCTGCTGCACCAACTGTGTCTTTGGATGCCGAAATGGACATGGGTGACGTCCAACCCACGAATACAGCTGTTGGAGAAACCGGCGACTGGGTAATGGTGAACGAGGAAAACAAGAAGGATGACAATATGAATAAACCGCCTGGCGACTTGCAAGCGGGTGAAACGCCGGGAAGCGGATTACAAGGACTAACGCCTGGCCCTGGAAGCGCGGGCGATACCGGCCTTGACAGCGCGAATTTCGACTTCACCAACATGGACAGTGCCGGAGACGCGCTCGCAGCATACACCGAGCAGAACGAGGGTCTGGATCTTCCTGATCTGGATAACTCGGCGTTTGGAGATGCCTTTCACGCATCGGATAATGAGCACACCCACCACCATGATGCAGATGACATATCGTAAACGGGCCCGGAGGTGGTTGCATTGTTTTCTTGTTTGGATGTAGGCTTTCTCAACGGGTGTTGGATGGTTCTGTTATATGCTGGGCGCTGGTTGATTCTTTTTTTGTCGCCTCCTGCTGCCCACTCTTCCGCGGAAAAGAATTTGTTGTGTTGTACGATCTAGATAGGAGACACATTGCTATAATCGATTCGTGACGGCCTGTATCAAGGCCGCCGTTCTGCACTCTGGCATCGGTCCATCTTATAATACACACTACCTATGCTTTACTTCAAGGGTTGGTTCGCACTAGGTCTACAATGTGTTAAGGATCCAATGTCGCGCGGGTGCCTACCTCTATCAGTTGTCCCGCGCACATGACGGCGTCACTGGACGAGCAACAATGTCAACACATTTTCTGATGTATGAGGATGAATCACAAGGCGGGAAGATCCGCATGACAGGATGGTAGCGGAATATTCATTTAATGACATTATTGCTCGAGTGAAGCTTGAGGTGGAATATACTGCTATGCCATTATCGCATACAGACATCGTGATCCTTTGACTATACAGTGAGCTCCCATAATTTCATCGTCTTTTGAATCCTTACAGCTGTTATTCGGACCAAGTTGATCGCTGTACTTTCATCGTCGCCGCGTCAGATCTACTACCGGTGTTTTGCTTGCCTTACGGCGGTGCATCGCCTGCTATTCTCCCACTCGGTGTCGCTCGCGTAACAGTTCAGGGTCCCAAGTCAAGGGCGCTCCTCGCCTACGAGCAGTCACCATTGTCCAGCTGATATAGTCGATATGTGCTTCCTCGAAGTTGACGACGGACCCGGGCCCGGCGTGCGAGTCGTCGAATACCGCCCCGGGACGCTCCGCGTCTCGATTCCAGGTCCTCGTCGGCGCAGAAGCAGCTGCAGTAGCGGTAGTAGCAGCGGCAGCTCCAGCTCCAGCTCCAGTTCCAGTTCCGGCTCAAGCAGCAGCAGCTCGAGTCATCATAGTAGCAGCAGCAGCAGCGATGATACTACCATTGTCATTGCGTCGCGACCTTCGCATCATCATCATCCACACCACCACCACTCCTGGTATGCGCGCTCAATGTCACCAGAACCAGAGCCATCATATACAACCGTGCAAAGAACGAGAGTGCGCACGCGGTCTGAGTCGATTATTCCTTTCAGAAGGAGATTCTTTGATAGTCCGCCTCCATCACCGTCTCCACTGTATAGATGTGTGAGATACGTTGAGCCTGGGGGCTGGGGACGATCGCGTTTGCACCATCCGGGAAGAGTATGGGAGGAGGAGGTGAGATATATCTCTGGGAGGGGAGGATGAATTGAGTCGTGTAAGATGGAAGTATCATACTCAGTTATACACGCGATCGAGTTTCAATACCATACTTGCCTTTGATTGGTAGAGATGATGATTTGTTTCATTGCTCCAAGATTAAAGGATTATGCTCCCGCCATGATCTTCAAGAACCCACTCGATAGACTATGAGACTAGGGCACTGGGCTCGAAATGCAGCACAACCCAAGTTACCCAACACCGCAACACGACACTTCCCATGGCTCCAATGCTTGAACTTAACTCTAAATCATCCATCAGAATCAATCACACACATCATGAAGCATCTCGACATCGACCGCATTCGGATCATGACTTCAGCTTCCGCTCATCCCGCATGACGTCATGTACGAGCAACTGCACCATCAGTTAAGATGAACACCCGTTCGTCATCTCCAAGGGATATCCATCTATCTGTCTTGTGTCATCGTACATCCGATTGAAGTGACTGAGTCAATAAGAGATCATCCTGTTCCTCTCGGTTTGTATCGCAATACTGTGTCGTAACTGCACTCCAAGGAAGGCGCATTCCTGCTTGATTCTACTCAGTAACAGCTACGGATTACCTCACCTAATAAACTCGATTGTACAGCTTTGGTGAATAAACAAGTTTTAACGGACATCGCCATGATGTATGAGCCGTGCGAAACTATCCTATCCTCTACGTGGCTAATCGCACCAGGAACCGAACGCTCTCCATCCGAAAGAAGGAACCAGCCCGCCACCGGTTCAGCATGTCCACCTTCCGCGGCCTGCAGGCGCCCGAGCTGAGCAAGAAGATGAGCCGGCTCATCAAGCAAGAGAACTCGGCCATCTCAGCCCACGAGGCAGCCGGCCGCGAGCGCGTCAACATCGCCGCCCAGCTCTCCGAATGGGGCGAAGGCACCGATGACGACGCCGTCTCCGACATTTCCGACAAGCTCGGTGTGCTGATGGCGGAGATCGGTGAGCAGGAGGATAACTTTGCGCAGAGCCTGGAGGATTACCGGAGTCTCTTGAAACAGATCCGGGATACGGAGTCCTCGGTCCAGCCGTCGCGCGATCAGAGGGCGAAGATCGCGGATGATATCCAGCGGCTGAAGCTGAAGGGGGACCAGAGCAAGGACAAGGTGGACGTTCTGGAGCAGGAGTTGGTGCGGGCTGAGGCTAATAATCTGGTTGCTGAGGCTCAATTGACCAATGTGGTACGTATGACCTCGCGAGTATACCTGGTAGAGCGCGTGGCGCTAAGATTCGGACGATAGACCAGACAGAAGCTCAAGGAGGCTTTTGATATCCATTTGGCCGCAGTCATTGAGCGCGGAGAGAAGCAGATTCTGCTCGCGCGTCATGCTCGCCGTCTCCTCAACTACCTCGACGACACCCCAATCGTCCCTGGTGACGCACGACAGGCCTATGAGCATGCCGATGCAGCGAAGCAGATCCTTGAGGCTGCCGAGAATGACCTAAAGTCATGGGAGAGCACCGTCGAACCCATCCACACCTCTGCAGGAGAGACCACTGGTGCTGGTAGAGACCAGGAAGGTCAAGGAGAATCTGGGTTAACTGGAGCCGCTGGTAATGCCAACGAAACTGGCACCGACGGCGCGAAGCAGGATCAGCCACAGGTCTCCGGCGCTACCGGAACGCAGCCTGTCGCTGTTCCATACTGAGAAACCATGGGAAACCAGATAGGTACACTTTCAGGGTAGTGTCCTAGTCGTTCAGTTTTTACTTTGTAGCATGATTAATATTCGATGGGATGGTCATGGGTATATGGATTTAGTCGGAGTCTATAGGAACTTTCAGGTCTGCTGCCGTGGTTAATCATTTGTAACAAAAAGTACTGCTTTTACAGAAATTCATAAAAGTCAATATACTCTGTGCATATTTACTATCACTGAGTCAATGTCTTGGATGAATCGTATCTTGCTGAGAGTTGATTGCAGTACGCTCACGTGATGCAGGCGGCAGCAAGTGACGCGGATGTTGGAGCTTTAATGGAGCTCTCAGCCAGAGCTGCAATTGCTTCCCCGTTTCATCCATCCACTTCCGCCATCGTCCCCTGTATCTTATCACTTCGATTAGCTTCCTGCTTGTCTTGTTACTACTGGAATCTAGAGAAGTCGGTTTTAATCATGGATAAATTAGTCGCCCAGTACTCGCGTCCACGTCACCAGAATGAGTTCTACTCGGAGCAAGAACAGCAAGACCTGACAGAGAGCCTCCCTCCTCTTTCTCTGAAATTCGCTCTTCCTCCAGTTGCAAACGTGAGCTACAGTTTGAGAACACTCCACCTGTCTGGACTTTTGACCTGTGAAAATGCTCTATGGCAGAGCGGTTTCACTGAGCGGATCCTGCCCTCATCGCACGTCGGAGAAGCCATCAGCTAATATGAATCTTGCTCTTCTTCGCATTTAGTCCTCCGCATTCCTTCGTGCCATGACCGACGACCACTCCAACCCTAGCTGTCCCATCAAGCTCGCCCACGGAACAACAACACTCGCCTTCCGATTTCAGGGCGGAATCGTATGCCGCTAACTCCCCGTCCGGCCCGCCCAGCATTGTAGCAGTCCGGCTGACTCGTTGTCTCTTAGATCGTCGCGACAGATTCGAGAGCTACCGCTGGAAACTGGATCGCCAGTCAGACAGTCAAGAAGGTCATTCCCGTGTCGCGGTTGAGTCGGGGTGACGACAAGAAGCAGGATGCTCCGGTCCCCGGTCTACTGGGTACCATGGCTGGTGGTGCTGCGGTATGCGTTCTTTTGCGTTCTGGTGGCATGGTGACGCTGACAAAATCGCCCTTCAGGATTGCCAATACTGGCTGAGATATCTGAGTCAGCAATGCACACTTCATGGTGAGTCTGGACGTATCTCTGGCAAGAGTGTTGTGTTAACATCGTGGCAGAGATCCGGCACAAGCGTCGTATCACCGTTGCCGCGGCATCGAAGATTCTCGCCAATCTGACATACTCTTATAAGGGAATGGGTCTCAGCATGGGTACAATGTTGGCAGGCGTACGTTTCGATCCCTTTTGGAGATTAGGCGAAGTGTGAAACTGATAACACCGCAGATGACGCCTCAAGAAGGACCAGCCCTCTACTACATCGACTCGGACGGCACGAGACTCCCCGGAAACCTGTTCTGCGTTGGGTCCGGTCAGACCTTCGCTTACGGTGTGCTTGACGCCGAGTACCGCTACGACTTAACTGAAGAGGAAGCCCTCGAGCTTGGTCGTCGGAGCATCCTTGCCGCCATGCACCGTGATGCTTACTCAGGTGGTTTCATCAACTTGTACCATGTCAAGGAGGAAGGCTGGGTCCACCACGGTTTCGACGATATGAACCCCATTTTCTGGAAAACGAAGCTGGAAAAGGGCGAATTCTCGAACGTTACGTCGGCCCTTTAAGGGCATGATTCTGGCAATTCCTGTGGTGGATATGATGATTATCTCGTAATTCCTTTTTCTCTAGGCATTGAAAACTTTTCGACTTGCGGTTGCCGTCATTGAAATCTACCTGGTAGTACGATATAGGCGAACAGTCGATGGAATGAATCTAGAATACAATAGACGAAAGGCTGCACCTCGTACCCTTAAACGTCTTAATATAAAGAAGATCGAAACGGAATGAGTAGACCAAAAAAAAGACTCTAGATTGTATCCCACAAAAATACAAAACATCCGAAGGCGACAAAAAGACGAACAATGCTCAAGCGCTCTATACACATGCTTTTTCACTGAGCTCAGCGTATCTCGTGGAGTATATGCATCCTTTATTCTTCCCACTTAATTGTCAACCCAGAACTTCATTCTGATGCCCATCGCGGCCAGTTCCACGTCAAGGTAGCGCAGGACACCCGGGACAGCGACGATGGTGACATTACCACCGCCCACATAGCGACGGCCGTCTCCGTCCTCCCACACCACGGCGCGGGAGTCCTCGAACACAGCCTCGCGGGCGCAGCGTCGGCAGCGCACAATGCCCGGCGCACCACTCTGCTGGGCGAAGGCGTTCTTGGCGACCGCCGCGGCGGAAGCGGCCAGACGGGCCTTGCTGGAGCCGGCGGACGAGACGGCGACCTGGGTGGAGAGGAAGGAGCCGCAGTCGCGGCAGATCCAGGCGCGCTGGGAGTCGGAGCAGTTCATCAGACGATCCTGGAGGATGAAGGCCGCGCCGTGGGCGATGAGCGAGTCGCGCTCCATCTCTCCGACACGGATACCGCCTCCCTTGGCACGACCCTTGACGGGCTGGCCGGTGAGCTGGTTGACGGGACCGGTTGTCCGGACCTGGAACTTGTCGTTGACCATGTGTCGCAGACGCTGGTAGTGCACGACGCCGATGAAGATGTCGGCGGCGAATTCCTTGCCCGTGATACCGCTGTAGAGGGGCTCGTTGCCGTAGTAGTTGTAGCCGGCCTTGCGCAGCTGCTGGCCGAAGTAGTCTGCCGCGGTGTTCTCTTCCGAGAATTGGAAGGGGGTCGAGTCTTGAGGATGGCCGTGCAGAGCTCCGGCCTTGCCGGCCATGGATTCGATCATTTGGGCGATTGTCATACCTGCGATGGATTTAGTCTCATGTCGCATGAAATGCCATGGAAAGGGCCTGGAAAGATGAACTTACGAGAAGGGAAGGCGTGAGGGTTGATGATCAAATCTGGCTGGATACCGCTCTCGGAGAACGGCATGTCAACCGCAGGCCAGAGTTGAGAGCAGACACCCTTCTGTCCGTGACGGGAAGAGAATTTGTCACCGATAACAGGTTTTCTTGGGATACGGTACTTGACGCTGAGTGCCTGGCACGGCTCCAGACCAGTCTCGGCACCCATGATCCGGATGCTGTCAATGTATCCTTCTTCTGCGTCTTTGTACTTGACGAAGTGCGTGATGCCGTCAACGTTCACGTAAGAGTCGGAAGCAGCATCATAGCGCACAGTATGCCACGCAGCAATCAGACTGCCCTCCTTGACTCTGGCACCCACATGAGGGAGACCGTCCTCGTCGAGGGTAGTACGCCACTCGGCCCGAATCTCTCCGCCAGGAGCGAAACCGAAGAGCTTGGTGATCTCGCGTCTGGATTTGCTGCGCCGCGAGTCCTTGTCGTCAAGAGAGTGAATCTTGGTCTTGTAAATAGTACCGTAGCCGAAGCCGCGCTCGTGCGACGACTTGTTGATAATCATGGCGTCATCCATGTCGTACCCGGTATACGAGATAATTGCCACGACCGCGTTCGTGCCGTTCGGGAAGTTGTCTAATCCATATGCGTTGTACAGCGGAGGTCGTACAATAGGCGTCTGACCAGTCTGCAATCTGTACAGCTTGTTGTCCGTACGGTAATCGATCGCTGTGCCGGGTGTACCCATCGTCTGCTTGCTCATCTGGCACTGGTACATGTTACGGGGCGACTGGTTATAGTCGGAGAATGGTGTCATATTGGCGACAATGGACAGGATGTTCGTCGGTGTGAACTCAATGTGCGTGGACACACCCGCGACAAGATCATCGGGTAAGCATGCAATCTCCATAAACGGCTGTTCGAAGGGACCGACGTAGTCAAGCTTGTCGAGAGGTAGGTACTTGACAGGTCTGTACATTCTGGCGGCTTGAGAGAACATGTAGATACCGGGATATTGGCCGCCATTCGAATTGGGAACATAACCAATCTCCAGTTGTCGTGGGATGTTGTGTGTACCCGAGACCTTCCAGTGCCGAACGGTATCCGCAATCATACAGGCCTGCTTGGGTGAGCAGTATCCAACAATTCTGCCATCCAGCTGAACCGTAACGCTGTCTTCCAAGGCAACCGACGATTCAGATCGTACACCAAGCTGCACCAATAACTTTGGAAGATGAGAGACGTTGACATCGCTTGTGGCGATCAAGCACTTGTGAGCAAGATGGTTAAGCAACCCACAGGGTGCTCCATCAGGAGTGTGAACCGGGCAAAGGAAGCCCCAACTCTCGGGAAGCAGCTTACGAACAGTAGTTGTTTTCAGCTGTGCGAAGAAACTACCTCTATGAATCATTCGGAAGTGACTGATGAATCGGTAGAAGTTGATCTTTTCCGCCATGACCGTGTAACCAGACACCTGTTGTAAATCAAGACCCGTGGGACTGACGAGGTTACCGGTCGACAGGAAATACTCCAGCTTACCACCGATGTTCTCGTTAGTCCTCTTGACAATCTTGCTCAAGAAATCTCTTTCGAAAGCTGGATCCGTGAATTTTGCACCACCGTTGCGATTAGACCAATCCCTCAGGATAGGGCCGAAAGATCTCATCCATTCCTCAAGCTGTTCCTTGAGAAGCATGCCGTAGAGGAAACCGCCGAGCAGGATTTCTTGGTTGGAAACGGCATCCGGGTTGTCCGGGGCACAATCTCCAGCAACAAGCGCGTACAGCTTCCGGATCATGAACATGATCAACTTGAATTTGTCATAGTCTTGGGTCTCGGTGACGTTCTGGTTACCGAGATGAGGCAAGACAATTTTGCGGAGGAATTCTGTACCGGCGTCCTCGTTGGACATATCTGCCGGAACACCAAGAACGGGCTTGAACTTCTCACCCAGATAAGCTCGGCAGGAGGAACGGGTATGTAGGTTGTAGGCTTTGTATGTTCTCAGCAGCAGTTCCACACGGTCCGTCACAAATGTATTGTTGACACCCTTGGACGTGGC